GCCCCGACGGCCGCTGGAGCTCGAGGTCATCCTCGGCAACCCTGTGCGCATCGCGCGGGCGCGGGGCGTCGAGATGCCGCGGCTGCAGAGCCTCTACGCGCTGCTGAAGAGCGCGCAGACGATGCGCGAGAAGCAGCAGCAGCAGCAGCAGCAGCAGCAGCAGGCAGAAAAGCCCAGCAAGCTGTAGCGAGATGGCGTAGGAACATGTTCAAGGGGTGAGGGTATTCATCGTACGAGGCGTATCTGCATAGAAGCGAAAGGGAAATGTAAGTAAAGGGGCCTGCCATGTAAAGGTACGGTGCACTGCAACATGGGGCATCGGAGTGGGTTCCGGACCTAATGCTCCAGGCCTCCAGGGCCCGTCGAGGTCTCGCCCATGTGGCTTCGCTCCACGCCCATGACGCCATGAAGCAGGTTGTCAGGTTCTGGGTGCCAAAAAAGGCCAAAGCTGGTGGGCCAATCGCTCGGCCAATCGCTCTGTATCTGCCGATCTTTTGCCTTGTTGAGCGAATGGGAATTTGCAATGTGCCTCTTGAAATCACGACCCTGCCCTCCAGACCCAAACGAAAAACCGAGTCCACAGCACCTCAAGCACCTCAGGGGCCAAGTTCGTGGGCAGCGTGCCCTTTGCCCTTGCACCTCTCCTTTCTCCCCTGTATCGTGCTCTTCCTCGCACACAGGTCGGCGTTTGTCCCCGATGCGCCCCCGGAGACGGCTGAGGAAATGGACAGAGAGAACAGACGCGAGCGCGGTGCGGCTGTTGCTCGTGCTAAAAGCAAGTAGGTGCTGCCGACTACTGCGACTGCCACGGCCGCCGTGATCAGGGGAATGGAGGGGGATCGGTCTAGTCGCTTGCTGTTTGGTGGGGCCCGTGCTGTGTGCGCGGGACGACCACCCCGCAGTAGGTAGGTACCTTAGTGTGCCATTGGACACGGACGCGGTCGACCCCATCTCGATCGGTGACCATTCCATCTGCCCAACGTACTTTCCTGAACGTAGCACCCGCCCGGTACATTGGGGGGGGGGGTGGGGAGGGGAGGAAGGCACAAGGGGGCAATTGGAGGGGAGGAAGGCGATGCAGAGGAGAAGGCACCCGGACAAAGCCGCTAGGGGCAAGCAAAGGAAAGGAGCACAAGGAACCGCCGAGCCGAGCAGCTTGGTCATTTGAAAACGAGCATCCAGACCGTCTGTCAGGGCCAGACAGACAGCCAGGCAGACGGACAGATCGTCGAGAAAAAACCGTTTCGTGTCGAGAGCCGCGTTGCGTGCATCGGGCGTCTGAACTAAGGCAGCTAGGTATTCTTGTGTGTCCACCATTGACGGAAACCCGATGACTACGACGACTCAACTACCTACTTACCTACCTATCTACCTACTTACCTTCCTTGGCTGCTTACCTGTCTTGCCGTTCATGTTGGCTGGCTGTCGCCCACCTCACATCAACCAACCCGGCCGGTCCTTGACGTCGTCTATCAGCATTTGGCTGTGCAGCATGCAGAAAACCTCTCCGACCGGCCGTTTCATTGACCTCTGGTCCCGATCTGACTTCTGACGTCCCATCGACCCTTCTATGCTCCACCTGGTGCGTATCGCAGACAGCACACCAACCATCACAAACGTTGCACATTTGCACCTCGATCGCCACGTCGACCTGGATTTTTGATAAGTTGTTTTTTTTTAACTCTTCCGCGAACCCCTCTGCGGGTTTCGCTGTTCCCCTTTCACAATTGGACGACGACAACGGCCGATACAAACACAACCTCTTCTGCTTCCTGGCGAGCCAACACCTGCCCCTTCAACAGCCCTTGATCGTCGCCGCCTGCGGCTCTGGCCCGCCGCCTGCCACTCGTGCCTCGCCACTCGCCACCCGCCCATTTTCGCCTCACTGTTCCTCGCGCTGGGAACCGACCCCGCGCGCTCCTTGCACGCGCGCCTGTGTAGCCTTCGGGGATTTCGCATGGGCCCAGGGGCCAGTGCTGCCCGCGTCTCGAGGAGAGGCTCATGGTCCAGCCACAGCAGACAGCAGGAACCATGAATGACCAGCCCTCACCATCCGAGGTCGACGAGTCGCCCTTGTCCGGAGGCGCCATGGATGGTAGCTCGCAATCCACCCTTCAGCCCGTCGAATCTCCCATCCCCCTCATACCTCCGCCATCGTCCGCAGCCACGCAAGACGCGGGACACGACCCCGTGCCTCAACAGACGCCTAGCGCCCGTTCCTCATGGAGCGCCAGCTCAGGTCGTCAGCCCGGTCACAGCCCCGACCTGTCCGACAGGGTGTTCCCTATTCGATCCGTCGTCAGCGTCAACCCCGCCGGTCGAACATCTGGCGAGCACGGCTACTTCCCACGCATGCCCGACCATGGCCAGTACACCGCAGCTCGACCCGACGCCCCGCGCCCGCGCCGCTCCGACTCGGTGTCCCAGCCTGCCGCCTCCGCCGTCACGTCCCCCACCGACGACCGCCAGACCGCGCGAAACCGTCGCAAGCATACCTCCTCCGGCCCCATATCGAGCATACAAGCCGACGCCGCCCGCCACGCCAACTCGATGCCCTTGCCCATCTTTGAAAGCGATGCTTGCGGCTCCGAGGGGGGCCACTCCTCCCGTCTGGACCGGTCGAACACCAGCCAGCCATCGCACGCACAGCCGGTTTCGACGCCTGCCGGCTCGGTGCCTGACAGCCACGGGCTCATCCTGCCGAGGTTCCGCCACGTCACGACGGACGACGGCCACGCCGTCATTACAGGGCCCGACGCGGTTTTGCAGCACTGCGAGGACGAGCCGATACATACCCCTGGCGCCGTGCAGGGCTTTGGCCTTCTGCTGGCCCTTCGCGAAGACCAGGAGGGGGGCTTTTCGGTCCGCTACACCAGCGAAAACTCAGAGCGCATCATTGGCTACTCGCCGAAGCAGCTCTTCAACCTGGCAAGTTTTCTCGATATTTTGAGCGAGGAGCAACAAGACAACCTCCTCGATCACATCGACTTTATTCGGGATGAGGATGCCGATCCTGCCACCAACGGGCCCGAGGTGTTCAGCTTGACGGTCCGCTCGTCGGGACGAAAGAGCACCAAGCTGTGGTGCGCCATTCACATCAATCCAGCTCATCCCGACCTCATCATTTGCGAGTTTGAGCTCGATGACGATCACCTATACCCTCTACGCCCGGCGGACGGAGGTCGTTCCCGACGGCGCCTGAAGGACACCCTCCGATCCGACCCCACCATGGAAGGAAGCTTTCCAGCAGCACCGAGATACTCAGCAAACCGCTGAGGTCCTGAGACGGCGAGGAGGCAGAGGGGGCGAGGCCGGCGCATGCAGTTTCGACATCATGTCTCAGG